GCAGTAGCAGCAGCAGTAGCAGTAGCAGTAGCAGTAGCAGCAGTAGCAGTAGTAGTAGTAGTAGCAGTAGCAGTAGTAGCTGTAGTAGTAGTAGTAGCAGTAGTAGCAGTAGCAGTAGTAGTAGCAGTAGCAGTAGCAGTAGCAGCAGTAGTAGTAGCAGTAGTAGTAGAAGTAGCAGTAGCAGTAGTAGCAGTAGCAGAAGCAGTAGCAGTAGCAGTAGCAGTAGCAGTAGCAGTAGCAGTAGCAGTAGCAGTAGAAGTAGCAGTAGCAGTAGCAGTATCAGTAGCAGTAGCAGCAGCAGCAGCAGTAGCAGTAGCAGTAGCAGTAGCAGTAGCAGTAGCAGCAGCAGTAGCAGTAACAGTAGCAGTAGCAGTAGTAGTAGTAGTAGTAGTAGTAGTAGCAGTCGTAGTTTTAGTAGTAGTAGTAGTAGTAGTAGTAGTAGGAACAGCAGCAGTAGCATCAGCAGTAGCAGTAGCAGCACTAGCACCGGCAGGAGCAGTAGCAGCAGCAGTAGCACTAGCAGTAGCAGCAGCAGTAGCACTAGCAGTAGCAGCAGCAGTAGCAGTAGTAGCAGCAGTAGCAGTATCAGCAGCAGCAGCAGTAGTAGCAGCAGCAGCAGCAGTAGCAGCAGGAGTAGCAGTAGCAATTATAGTAGTAGGAGCGGCAGCGCAGTAGCAGCACTAGCACCGGCAGGAGCAGTAGCAGCAGCAGTAGCACTAGCAGTAGCAGCAGCAGTAGCACTAGCAGTAGCAGCAGCAGTAGCAGTAGTAGCAGCAGTAGCAGTATCAGCAGCAGCAGCAGTAGTAGCAGCAGCAGCAGCAGTAGCAGCAGGAGTAGCAGTAGCAATTATAGTAGTAGGAGCGGCAGCAGCAGTAGCAGTAGCAGCAGCAGCAGTAGCAGCAGCAGCAGCAGTAGCAGTAGCAGTAGCAGCACCAGCACCAACAGTAACAGTAGTAGCAGCAGCAGTAGTAGCAGCAGTAGCAGTTGTAGTAGCAATAGTAGTACTAGTAGTAGTAGCGGCGACAGTAGCAGCAGCAGTAGTAGCAGCAGCAGCAGCAGCAGTAGCAGCACTAGTAACAGTAGCTGTAGTAGTAGCACTAGCAGTAGCAGTAGTAGTAGCAGTAGCAGGAGTAGCTGTTGGAGCAGAAGTAGTAGCAGAAGTCGTAGTAGCAGTAGGAGCAGTAGTAGCAGTTGGAGCAGTAGCAGTTACAGTAGCAGCAGCAGCAGTAGCAGTAGCAGTAGTAGTAGCAGTAGCAGCAGCAGTAGCAGTAGTAGTTGTAGTAGAAGTAGTAGTAGTAGTAGTAGTAGTAGTAGTAGTAGTAGTAGTAGTAGTAGTAGTAGTAGTAGTAGTAGTAGTAGTAGTAGTAGTAGTAGTAGTAGTAGTAGTAGTAGTAGTAGGAG